GATAATGGACCATGTTTTGTGAGTCACTTTGGGGAATTCAACACAATACAGGAATTCCCTACAATCCCCAAGGTCAAGCCACTGTAGAATGCAACCATCAAAACCTAAAAATACAAAAACAAAAAGGGGGAATAAGCCCCCACCAACAGTTGGGTATGGCCTTATTCACTATTAGTGTTCTTAATTTTCAAAAAAAAAATCAGTTGGAATCCTGGTTTCAGAAGCATTGGGGATGACAGGAGCAGAGACCTGAGGTACGGGTAAGATGGAAGGATCCCATCACTGGGTGATGGAAAGGACCAGATCCATTGCTAACCATGGGTTGAGGCTTGGGTGTGTCTACCCTATAGGAGATTCAAACCCCATATGGGTGCCTGCGAAAAACCTTAAGTGGGTATGCCAGGATCCAACTGACTAGCATGACTGTCCATGGACAATAGTTTATGAGGCAAAATTCCTCTCTTTATTTGTATCCATCTGAGGTAAAGGACCCAGTTCCTTGGCTTCATTGCCAGTCAGCCTCTACAACTGGCTGATTGGCTAAAAGTTAGATGGTCTCTGAAGTATTTCAACCTGTCCTATGCCATGACTTGCTTTGTTTCTCTTGATAATACTTATCTTTAAGTGTCTTTACCAGATAATTTGGCAACAGAGGACCCTTGGAACTGCCAAGGCCCACCTCCTCATGATTACGGACTCCCCCAGGACCCCCTCCAGTTGCCCACGCTTGGATAACTGAGTTAGGCAGAGACTAAGACTGTCACGGACTGGCATTACCCACACTGCTGCCCTTAATCATGATGCATTTTTAGCCAAGGACGGGTAAGATGTCCCATGACAAGCACTCCTAAGACAGGACATGCACATGGCCAGGTGCATGATCTAATGATGGGCAAGTCTTGGTCAGAGGTGACACAACCTAAGACAGGCAAAAATGCATAAGATTAGAGGAAGGAGATAGCCATCTCTCCTCAGGGAGCCATCTATGAAGTGGGTAACCCGTGAAATAAAGTCGGTCCGGCCTTAAAATAAAAATAAAAGGGGGAGATGTGGGGACTTAAAGGCCTCACCTTGCAGAGGTCCAAGAGGGAGTTACTGGGGCATGGCCTGACTTGCTTTGAAAGTCTGAAGAATACTTCCGCACTGCTGAGGAGTGCATGATCAGGGCGTGACCATCCTTAAGATACACCTTTGGGGGGGAGGGGGGATTTCCAGGTGCCTTTATAGGCTCTGTAACACCTACAATAAATGAGTCCCTGCTTGACCAGGCTCCCCGTTGTGTCTGAGTGTTCCTGGTACTGGGGGTGGCATGGGCTGGTGAACAGTGTGCTTATTCATCCCCAATCATCACTGCCTGGGGGTCACTGGTTTGAACCCCTGGCACTGGTGCCCAAACTCAGGCCTTATTTATGTGTACTACGCAAGTGCTCTGCCACTGAGCACCATCCCCAACCCCCCTTCCACTTTCTGGTCCTTCTCCACTCCAGATGGCTGGCTCTGGATTTGTGCATTCAGCAATTTCCTACATGGAAAATTACAAATTGATCAAAAAACTATGGGTGAGGAATTCTCCTAAAGGGGTACAAATGACTAACAAATGTTAGTGGGAAAATAGGTTCATCCTCACTAGTAATCAAAGGAATGCAGTATGAAACAGTTAGGAGGTATCATTTTTGCCAATGGCAAAGAGAAAAGGTTACACTGTCCATTGTTGGTATGGAAGATCTAAAACAAGCAGGCTTCTCTATATAGCACATGGATCCCATATAGTGTATGAGTTTTCATAGATGGATGGATAGATAGATGATAGATAGATAGATAGATAGATAGATAGATAGATAGATAGATGATAGATGATTGATGACTGATAGAGATAGATAGATAGAAGATAGATAGATAGATGGATAGATAGATAGATAATCTATATATATGCATGTTTGTATGTATATAAATATATTTATAGTCTTTGACTTAGCTATACAAATTCCAGACTTTCTACATAGAGGACTCACCTGGCATATATAAAATCCTAGGTTTAGTCCCCAGCACAGAGAAAAAAGGCATACTTTTGTCCAAATATCTAGTTGGTATATTGGGCTGGAGGTGTAGCTCAGCGGCAGAGTCCTTGCTTAGCACACATGAGGTCCTGGGGTTCGTCCTTGGCATCCCCGCCCCCCAAAAGAATTGATTGCTGTTGTTTACCACTGCAAAACTAAAAGCAAATTAAATCTACAAGGAATTAGTAGAAGACAGAGGTCTCAGGAGAAGACCCTGAAGCTATAGACGTGACACAGGAACATGGAGAACTGCTCACATTCACTGTTCAGGCAGAGAAATGGAGTGAGACTATTCTTTCTGCTACCTCTAGGGTGTAGATGGTAAACGTACGAAAGGTGGTAACGCTTCTATCACCTCCTGTTTCCATACTTTGTCAATTTTAAATTTTTCTCTCGCATTCATCTTCCTTCCTCCCTTCCTTCCTCCCTTCTTTCCTTTCCTCTAAATATTCATGTCTTTAAATTAAATCATAAGATAGGCACTCTTTTTGTTTGTTTTGAGACAGGGTCTCCTATAGCCCAGACTGGCCTTGAACTTTATGAAGCCAAAGATGACCTTGAACTCCTGGTTTTCCTGCCTCCACCTCCAAAATGGAGTAATGGATTGCTGACATTACAGTCATGTGACCATTCCTGGCAAGACAGACACCTTTCTTCCTCTTCTCCTCCTCCTCCTTTTTTTTTTATTTTTGCTATTGTTTTGAAACAGTGTCTCCCTGTAGCCCCATCTGGCCTGAAACTCACTATGTAGACAAGGCTAGTCTGGAATACATAGAGATCTGCCTGCCTCTGCCTCCTGAGTGCTGGAATGAAAGCTGTGTGCCCCCACACCAAGCAGTCAAGGTGGGCACTTTAAGACTGAAATAAATGTTGACCATGGTAGTCTATACCGGTAATCCTCTCTCACTGGAGACTGAAGCTGGAGTATTGCAGTAAGTTCATGTTAGCAGGTACACAGTGAGTTTCAGAAAAGCCTAAGCTACAGAGTGAGACCCTCTATCTCAAAAAGAAAAGAATAGAAAAGAAAAGGCTGAGCACGTGATGCCAGCATTTGTGCAATGGATGCAGGGGGATCAGGAATCTAATGTCATCCTCAACTACAGAGTGAGTTTGAAACCTACGTGAGGTTTGAGACCTATCCTCTAGGGAGGACCAGAGTAAAACAGTGTCTTCTGGACATAACAGGACTGCTGCACTCATAAACTCACAAGACCTGCACACCAATCAACATTCTAGTGTGGAGCGGGGAGGGGTTCATGAGCTTGCACCCCTAATTGAAGAGCTCTTGACAGTTGGTGGCTTCTCGGGAAGGGAGAGACAGTTTTCTTTAAGGGTGTGACCCCTGGTAGGTCAGCCATACCCAGTGGATAAGCACACACCCAGAAGTCTATGGACAGCACAAACTGGACACAGTAGGTTATTACATTTTTTAAAAAGACAAAAGTTGGGGCGGATAGGAGGTGGGGGTATATTTGGGAGGAGTTGCAGTGAATGTGACCAAAACACATTATATGAAATTCTCAAAGCATTAATACAAATACTTGCTTTTAAAACACTGTGAAATAGTTGACCACTTCTACACACAGTTTGATGACTTTGATTCTATTGAATGAATGGAAGCTATCACGAAGAGAGCTTGGAAGCCTTTGAGGAAGCTGTGGACAGCGTGATGTGGCAGCAGGTCAGGGGCTTGCTACACCCTTATACCTGGTCCTCTGTAAGTTTCTGCCTCCTAATGGTTATTTCCTGATTCTTCCCTTCCCTCCCTATTTCCAAAGCTACCTGCATTGCTTGCTGTCACCATGACATGCTACAGATCTCTTGAGCTCTCCTTCCTGATATTTTTTATCCTTGACCAACAATCACCTCAATCTACCACTGCAACCTCTGGTATTTGTCAATTTTCTTTCTGTTTTCTGAGTTTAACTTTCCAACATTTCATATGTGAGCGAGGTTGTGCAGCACAGGGTTTGTCTTTTTGTGCCCGTCTTCTGCTTTATATAATGTCCTATAGGCTCATCCACATTGTCATTAATGACACGTTTCCTTCTTTTGAAAGCCTGAATATTATTCTATTGTGTACATATACCACAGCGTTTTTATCCATTCATCCATGGACGGACAGGTAGGTTGACTCCATATCTTGACTATCCTTAGTAAATTTTCCATTACATAGCATCTCCATATAATTTTTATGATTAACATAAAATAACTGCCCCTATAGCTGTTCCATGGCTCAGCCAGAGCCACTAGTCCGGAGTGCAAGTCTTAAAAAGCAGTGAAGCACTTCTTGACCCTATTCCTTTACATCTACAGTTTTGCAAGGAGAGAAAAATGGACTGCTTTGCTTTTTCAACCAAAATGTGTGCACACGGCCATACGGGCTGTTAAAATACTGAAACGCCCTGTTGGACCATGTTTGTCATCCTCCCGCCTTCCCCGTGTCCTCCCCCCTTAAAAGAAACACTAGACACAGAGAAGGACAGCAGCAGGTGGAGATCTGCCCCCCATCCTCCTACCCCAGGTGCCAGGCCGGGACCAATGGTCACCCCCCACTTTTCCTCACCTCAGATCTGAGCACTCAGAGCTGGAGAGAGTTTCAAGTCTCATACCTGTTTTCCTCGTTGTCCAGGGGCCCCCAGTGGCCCCGTAGCTCCAGGCACTCCAGGCTCTCCCTAGTAAATGAAGTAGGAGATGCTTCAGATGATTAAAGTCAAGCACCCCAATAAATGAGGGGACACAAGGTTCTCTGTAAGCAGCCAGCACTCAGTATGGGGACGGGCTGATGGGCACAAATAATGATCCCAAAGCAGAAAATACGCAGGACTGAGCTTGAGTACTTTTTAAGGCTCTGTTTCATGCTTTCCTGGCATTAAAGGACTGACAGAGGAGGATGGGTAGAAGGTTCACTCCAGGGAAAGCGGGCTCATTTGCTAGTGTATTTATTTATACAATACTTGTTTGTTGTCTTGGAAAATGAATGATTCAACATGATAAATGTGGCCCAGCCCCCTCCAAGCACAGTATGGTTAGAAAGAGAAAAAACTGAGATGGACAAGCCCATTGTTTGATGAAGCTCAGGGTCTTATGGGAGCAAAGAAAAGAGACTCACAGGCTCAAGGAGGTTACCCAGAGGGAAAGGACAAAGAAGCTGGCGTCTAAAGGACATTGTGTAAGCTGAGGAAGGAGACAAAGAGGGGGACCCGGGGAGAGGGAAGGACTGACTGGAGAAGCGGGGCAGGCAGGCTTGCAGGAGGGAGCTGAGCTGAGAAGCCTTGGAATTAAACAGGGAAAGATGCAAGGGGCCTGCCAGCTGCTCCCACAGCCCTAGCTTTAATGAGCTATGATTGGCAAATAAAACCGCCAAGTTTAAGGTGCACAATATGAATATATGTGACCATCACAATCGAGTGGGTTAATCTATGCCACAGCTTACTACTGTTCTCTTTTCGTTTTGTTCTAGGTTTTGCTTTATAATGAGAACATTTAAGGTCTGATCTCCCAGCAATGTCTCAGATATACAGTACAGGAATACGAGCTGCAGTCAAGATGCCACACCCGAGCTCCACAGAACTCATTTATTTTACTGTTTTTTCATTTGTGTGCATGCTTGGGGGCAGGGGATGCATATGTGTACGCTCCTGCGTGGAGGCCAGAACTAGACATCTGGTATCTTCCTCAATCAATCACTCTCCACCTTGTTTTCTGGGACAGGCTCCCTCGCTGAACCCCGAGCTCAGTGACTCAGGTAGACTGCAGGTAAGCGCCACTGTACCTGGAGTTTTACTTGGGTTCTGGAGGATCAAACCCAGGTCTTCATATATGTCCAGCAACTGCTTTACCAACAGAGAAATCTCCCCAGCCCTATCTTACTATTTTATTTAATTTTTAATAACTACATGATTAGAAGAAACATTTCATTACAGCATTAACATACTCAGTAACACACTCCAGAGCAAGAGTACATCTCTTTCACAAGTGGCTGTAAGTTTCTAGGTTCACAGTTGAATTATGAATTATATACAATATTGAACTCAGTATAAGCACTGTAAGACATAAAATTGAATGAATTTTTAACCTTTAAAAAAGATCTCCATTTGGGGCTGGAGAGATGGCTCAGTGGTTAATAACACTGGCTGTTCTTGCAGAAGACCTGGGTTCAAATCCTAGCACTCTCTTGAC